TATATACCTTGGAGGAAGTGCTACCAAGGTGTTCCTTTGAGGAAAGAATCATGAAACTTTGCCTCACATTTTGTGGGAATACTTTCAGGAGGCCCCAGCCCCTGGAAAAAGATATCATACTGAGAACATGCAAAGGCTATTGAAAGCGAAGATATTTAACAAGACTGATTAACGTAGTAACTGCAACAATTGGTTTTAGCATATAGACATTGTGAGGATGGACAAGATTGCAACCTGTTGTTCATAGGGTTGTTGTTGTTAGTCACAGTTCACTCAATGGCACTGAACAGCAACAGCAATTCAATCCATGATAACAGCTTGAACCTATCCAGAGGCAACTCAGAAGAAAGGCTTCTGGTTCCTAAAGGTCATAGCCATAGAATCTTTATGGAGTTCTCAGAACACACAGCATCTCCGTGAATCCAAATCCAGTAGCTGATACTTTATTAGCAATTTAATAAAACGACAAAACACAAAAACAAACCCACTGCCAGGAGTTGATTGACAATCCTCCATTGGTTTCCAAGTCTGTACATCTTTATGGAAGGAGATTGCTTACAATTTTCCTGGAAACTGGTAGGTCCAAACCCCTGCCTTTCTGGTTAGCTGCCTGACATGCTACACACTGTACTGCCAGTTAAGAAAAGGGGGGAAGAAAAAAAGAAAGAAAAACAGCAGGAGGCCTATCCTGACTCTGACACTCACTGTGTAACCTGGGGGATTGTCCCCCTCTGTGCCTCCAAAGGCTGAGCTAGTAGGGGAGGCTACAGTCTCTGTGACCGGATACCTCTGTGATGGTCTGTCTGGTAGGACCATACACTTGGTGGAAAAGGAGGTATGTTAGGGGGTGGCAAGGGCAAAAGGCCCGCATGAAAGGGAGAGTGGAGAGCACCAACTTGAACAGCGTGGCAGCTCCACCCCAGGCCTGTAGAACACAGCAGCCTCATATCACAATGCCATGACCCCCAGAACTGGAGGTCACTCCTCATAGAATTTCTTCCCTCCTTCCACAGTTTAGTCAAGTCTAAATGTAGTATAAGGCCTTTACCTTCAAACATTTCTCCCTGAGGTAATAAAGACACAGGCCCAGAGGTGCCTATGCTATAAAATAGATGTAACCCAGGTTTGCTTTATGTCCAACGTGACATCAATTTCAGCCTGCCTTCTGCCTTTCCTAAGCACTAAGTACATCATCAAAGATTGTATTTTTAACGAGTCTTTGAGGTGAATTCTGCACCACCCTGTAATTGATCATTATAATTGAGATGCCTAGACCCCTGGGAAATGCAACTCAAAAGCACTTTCAGAGCTCTTCCGATAAAGGTGGATTTTAAAAATTTAATTATGTGCTAAAGTAGCCTCAATTCCTTACTGCACTGTGCTCACAAAGACACATGACTCTAGTGTCCCCAAAGATATTGTTGGTTATAGAATGAATTATGCCCCCAAAACAAAATGTACTGTAATCTTAATCTCTATGCCTGTGGTTCTAACTAATTCCATTTGGCAATGGCTTGTCATTGTTATGTTAATATGATTATCTTTTTGAGATATACAAGAAATGTAACTGAGCAGAGCAGAAACAGGGTAAAATAGGTGTCAACACACAGGGAGACTTCCAAAGAACCAGGAAGCAGTTGAAGAGACAAGGATGTTTCTCCAGAGCTGATGGAGGGAGAACGTCCTTCCCTGAAGCTGGTGCTCTGAACCGACACATCTAACCTCCTCAATTGTGAGAAAATACGTTCTTGCTAGTTAAGCCACTAGCTTGTGGTGTTTTGCTTCAACACCAGGTAACTAAGACATTATCTTTAAAGGCTAACTGTCCTTGGACAAAATGAAAAGTGCTGAAGCCTTTTAAAATGGCTCCATGTAGGGAGCTCTGGTGGCCTAGTGGCAAGAAGCTGCACCGCAGTCCCAAAGGTATGCAGTTCAAATCCACCAGATACTTCTATGCCAGTTAGAGCTGACTTGACAGTACACAACAAGACTAAAATAAATCAATTAAATGGCTTCCTGTACATTATCTAAATTAATGCCTTCAGGCTAATATCCTAGCTAAAGAAATCCTATTTTGAAGGTGGGAGCCTGGGATCTATACACTACAGCACACTAAAGCTTTAGCTGAAATAAGGTCCACATTTAAAAAAAAAATCATATTTAAAACAAAGATAGTGTAAGGTTACTGCTAGGCATTTATCAGTCACCATGTAAACAAACACCGTTTAAAGATCAGAGGAGTCCAATAATCAGAATATGTGAAACTAAAAACTGAATCAGGTAGAGCACATAACCAACTGTACACACACAGAACCCTTTGCAAACACCTACCTAGACCACCCAGTTTGTGCAGCATTGCCAGAGTCTAAAATTGTAATGAAAAATTTAAAGTCCAAAACCTACAAGCCATGAGAGGTTTAGCAAGCAGATTGTGCCATTTCTAAACTGAAAATGTGCTTGCATAAGCAAGTCACCGTGGCTAACCTTTCTGGATTGAGTCTGGCCTTCGGCTCAGAACGTGGCTATGCCAGGGTCAGAATTGTGACAAAACTGCACTTTCACGGAGGTTAGCCAAGGTTCACAGGGTCAAAACTGGGCCATTTTATCAGTCAAGTCAGGCTCACACCCTATTGCCTGGGACAGATAAAAACTTTTATCTATCAATTTCCTAAATCTACTCCTCCTGCCTTCTTGTGAATAAAGAAAACCTGGATTTGCTTATCTAAACCAGAGATGTATCTTTCTCAACACTGTTTTTTTCTTGGACCTCTGACTAAAGGTGATACATTCATGATTTTTTTTTTAACTTTATTGTTGTCAAAAACTTTCTATACTTGGAGTAACTGGCTTTATCTTACTTTTAACCAGTTCACCTCAGAAAACAGTCTTGGCATTATGCAGTCAACATGGATTTATTGTGTGTGAGACAGGCTGGAATGTTCTATTAGCATATAATGGTTCTCAAAGGGGTATCCTTTCTGATTCATCTTTCTCTGATGGATTATAGAGAACTACAATTTTGTCTAGATTTCCTAATCAAGATTCTAAATTACCACAGAAGGTACACAATGTTACCTTTGGAAAATGTATAAGCACAGATGACAAATGAAATCACACCGATATTTAGAAAGCCGGTTAAAGACAAATATTGAAAAGACATGTTTTCCCTGAGCAGAATCTTAAAGGCACAAAAAGTGCCTTAGAAATTTACTTTATTTGAGAATTATGCAAGTTCACTTTTTTTAATAGTTGAAGACAGTAACTATAGTAGAAACACATAAATATTATAATATACATTTACGAATTAAATACCATAAAGTCAACAGATAACACCATATAAAAACGCATATGTACACTTGTAATGAGTCTGAGGTGTGGGCATTTGCCCCAGTCAGATTTCACCCTGAAAATGGGTGAATTTTGCAGGGAGATTGTCCACAGGATAGACAGTGGGACTGGTTTTCATTGTAGGAGGTCCATTGAGAAGCTGCCAGTCACAATGCCTGGCCAACTCCACTGTAAATATTTTGAGAAGAATTTTTGCAAACTCTTTGCCTACACAGCTTCGAAGGCCTCCTCCAAACGGAATGAAGCTGAACCTGGATGCATCTTCTGGGTGAGGGAGCATAAATCGGTCAGGATTGAACTCCTCCTTGTTAGTGAAGATGTCTGCCACATCATGAGTATCACAGATACTGTAGATCACATTCCAGCCCTTGGGAATCTGGTATCCCTGCAAAAGATTATGAAATACCCCTAGCTGACAAGCCAGAACTCTAAGTTTCAGCAACAAATTTCTCTCACTGATGTCCTTTCAGGGGAAGGCATGAGCTTAAAGAGACTATGTGAATTTCAGATGGGTAGAGGCATGTGTTTACATGGCACAAGATAATGTTATCAAAGGCATAAGGGCTGTGAGCCAATTCTTAAGCAAGGAGGTGGGGTCTGAAGCCCTACCAAATAAAGGGGAGCGCAGGGGTGGGGTGGGGGGTGAAGAGAAACTTTTAACTTACATTCAATTCAAATGTCTTAAGAGCAACTCGAAACCCTCCTGGAACTGGGGGGTTCAGTCGGAGGGTCTCCTTAATAACACACCCAGTGTATTTCAGCTGTTCCAGAACTTCCATGTCCAACTTGTTATCTTGATCACTCTTGCAAAGTAAGCCCTAACAAAACAGTCACACACAGGTGAAGGGTGACTCTGGGCTTTAGTAAAACCAGCCCAGCGGCTATCAGCAGGGTTTAAGTGGTGTCGAAACCCAAAGGGCCCCAGGACCAGAGATCCTGAAGGAGGCAGGGAACAGCCAGTGACCATTGGCCTCCATCTGTCTGTCCAAATCCATTGTGTATTTACAATTCCAGCAGAACAGTTGCTCACCCCCAGTTGGAATTGCCAAGCCTCTCCCCCTCCCCAACACCACCCACTCAGACCAGAGTTCCCTATCCGTGCCCTTGAACACACAAATCCCACAAAATGGGACCTGTCTGGAAACTCCAAGGTTCTGCAAAAGGGAGGGGGGAGTATTAGGGAATACAAGGTCAAACTCTGCTCAAGATTCATTCTTTCCTCTTCACAAAGCCAATTTGTCTTCCCACCGCCCACCCCCCCCCATTCTGCACCTTCAGAATACTCAAGGGAGGTTAATTCCGAAGTGGGTTAGAAAGCACGTGGTGGACTTATTAAGCTAATCAGGAACCTCTCCAGTCCCCTTACCTTACTCTTCAATTCCTCTCGAACTTTCTGGAGAACATGTGGGTAGAGCCCCAGGTAAGTGATGAGAGAAGTGGCAGCACTGGCTGTGGTTTCATGCCCTCCAAAAAGGAGTTCAGTGGAAGACTGTTTTAGTGCCTAAGAAGATAATTTACAGAAAGAACACACGTCTGCTTGCAGTTGTAATTACTCAGAACTGTACTGAAGGTTCTGGAAAGACCAGAAGAGCTAACATTCTGCTAACAGTCAAGAAACGCAGTCTCTCTAATATGCAAATGGCCAGTTCCTCTATTGGCAAAATTTAGCAACATGAAAAGTTCCTTTAGTTGTCCTGGAGGTGATTAAAAGCCCCGCTTTGGTGGGAGCCTGGAATTAAAGACTTGTAGATTTTCTTAAAAATCTCCCAACAGATGACAGTTTGCAAATTCCAGCGCTGCCTTAGAAAACCTGGAGGGGTGGGGAATGCTACTTTTCCGCTATAGCCTCTTCTGCAGCTCTCCCTCCCCGCGCCTGTCTCCCCCATGACACTGTGTCTCAACTTCTGGAGTCCTTTCTCTGGGGTCTACGCACCGCTTCCCACCCCCCACCCCACCCCCAGCGGGAAGAAAAGCCCCGAAACAGGAGACCAGGGAACGGCTCTTGGAGGCCAAAGTCCTCTGCCTCTCCGGAAGCCACCCCTCACCTGCATATCCAGCCGCTCTCCCTTCTCCCAGGAGTGTTCGATCAGCAGCTGCAGCGCGTCTTTGCAGCCTTCGCCCGCCTCGACCGCCCTCAGCCGGCAGATCTTGGCGCGAATGTTCTCCTCGATGCGCGCATGGATGAGGTTCCGCGCCTTCATGCCCTGAGCGCAGAGTGTGCGCGGAGGTGAGCGCACGCCCAGCACCCGCTCCCGGGAGCCGCAGTGCCCCTAGCCTCACGCGGGACATGCAGTCCTTACCCGGTACAGCCCGCTGAAGGGCACGTCGATGGGCAGAGAGAAGAGGTTGCGGGTCATCTCCTCAAAGGCTTCCACAAGCTGCTGCTCAGCATCCTGGGCGCCCGCTAGCCGAGGCTCACAGCCCAGCAGGATGCGCATGGCGATGCGGAACATGAGGCGCTTCACCTCGGGGTAGACCAGGAGGCCGCGCTCGCCGCAGCTTAGCCAATGCTCCACACAGTTGCTGATTTCCTCCGCGATCACCGGCACGTAGCACTGGAGAGCCTCGCGGCTGAAGGCCCGCATAATCACCTGAGCCACGGAAGGAGAAAGCGTATAAAAAGAAGCAGAAAACCGGGCCCCTCCTGCCCCTTCCTCAGACACCCGCAGTTTCTCCAGCCCCCAACTCTGTCCTGGCGGAGAAAGCTAAATTGGGGCTTGGGCAGGGTCCTAGCGGATGACTTTGTGCGTGGCGGGCGCTCACTCAGCATCTCTCTGCCTGAACCTCCTCTGGGAATGGGGGCTCAAGCCGGGTCCAGGCGCCGCTGACCCAGCTCTCACCTTTTTGCGCTGTTTGTGAGAGGAGTCGTGCAGATTGGAGAGACAACCAGAGCCCAGGATGGTGCGCACCGACGCGGGCCAGTGGACGGATACCAGTCGGTGCTCCCCAAGCAAAATGCGCCGCACATTGTCCGCGCCCATCACCCGCACGGTGGGCCGCCCGAACAGATGCGTCTTGTAGATGAAGCCGTATTTCCTGCGCTTCATCTGCAGGAACTTCCTCCTCTGAGGAAAGGCGGAGGAGGGAGGTGGGCGTGAGGGGGCGCCGAGGAGCTAACCCCGCTTCTGGCAGCAGTACCTCCTTCCCTGGGGCGCCGACTGGGGCTTCCGGGGAAGCGCAGAGCCACGCCGGGTTCTGGGGGAATGTTATATCCCGCCCCAAGCTCCCTTACCTGCAGTACCATCTGCAGTGTTTCCCCAAAGAAAGGGAAGCCCATAGTCCCGGGGGGTAGAGGGAGGGCGCAGCTGCGGTCGCGGCTGCTCACGCAGTACAGGTCCCAGAGTTTGATTGCGGCCAGAAAGAGCAGCAGCGGCAGCACGAAAGTGCAGAGCGCGCTGGCCAGCAGTGCGGGGAGCCCCATGGCGCGCTGGCCTCCCGCGCCACCTGCCGCCGCCTGCGCTCCCAGCCCCGCCGCGCGCCGGCTTTATAGGCGGCCCAGGTTGCTGCCCACGTTACCTTGGTCAGACAAATTAGTTCACTCAAAGTTCATCTTTAATTGCAGATTGGGCCCCTGGCTCCTCCCCCCCGCGAGGCGCTGCCCAAAATCTTTAACCGTTTGTTCCGCGCCCAGGCAGAGGCCGCGCACCGAGGGATCCGTTCCGGAGCGCGCCTCCTGGGGTGCGCGTAGCAGAGAGCTGCCCGCCTCCTCGTCCAAGGTGTGCGAACTCCGGGATGACCCTGTGGCCTGGGGCTCCGGGGAGCGGAAACTCCAAGCCCTCTCCTTCCTGAGCCACCTCTTTGGAATCCCTTCCGCCCAGTCCGACCGGCTGCCCCAGCTCAGGGCTGCCTTCACTGGCTTTGCATTCCCCGATGCCGCGTGGACTCCATTCCACCCTCTGGGAAGTGCGCTCGGAATTGGCCGCCCTGGCCCACAGGTGGGGAAACTGAGGTTTAGAAAGTGGAGCAAAAAGCAGACTCCAGTCTCTCGCGAAGGTCGCTCAGAAGAGCCCAGGTTAGGGGTAGGAGGCGGAGGCAGGTAAATCAGACTTGACCGGGAGGATCAGGATCGTGAATCCCGGCACCCCAGCTTCCACAAGAGAACCTGCACTCATGAATTATTGTTAGAGGACCCCCTCCCTACCCCGACGCCCCAGTGAGATACTGCAGGGACAATTAAGGCTCTGCAATCAAGGCCAGACAGGGAGATGTAGACACAGCTCCCTGTATGCATTCTGAGAGCCTCAGCCCTAGTTGAAATGCAGTGAGAAGAAGGAAGGTCCTTTGCCCTGGCAGAAGATAGAAGAAGGCAGGCTCCCACCTCCAGCTCAATTGGTGTGCCCTCAGCAAGTTATCAAACATCCTTGTGCCTGCTTGCTCTTCAAATCAGAGGCAATGGTTCCTGCTCTATTTACACTAACTGAATTCCCCAAAGGGGCGCCTTAATGCACACTCTTCTGGTTCCAGGCACCCGAGGTTACCAGAGGTGGCCAGGACACAGTCACACTTGAGCTCTCCCAGCTCAGATGCAGCGTGAAGCCACTGCCCCACCCAGCCTTCAACCCAGATCTCGGCTGTCAGCTAGTGGGAGGCTTGGGGGAATCCAGGACTCGGATGTGGGGCTCCTGGCTTTTGCCCAACTCTAGTCAGCGGCAGCCAATGCCTGGAGCCCCAGCACCGCGGGGCGCGCACGTGCCTTGGCGGAGTCTCAGGGTTTTGGACCAGTCAGGGCCAGGGCTGCCTCGTTTTGGCGCTGAACGCACCAGCAGCGCAGAAGACAGAGCTGTGCATGCTTGTTTAAAACCGAACACCAGCTCTCACTGGCGCACGCCACATGCCTTGGTAATCGTCTTTGGGCCGCAGAAGAGTCTTTAACCCCATAGAGTTGTTCAAGATGCGGTTTTCTTGCAGTGGTCCCCAAACCCAGAGAGGTCCGTAAAGGTTTGGGGGACGGTTCAGTCCAGAACGTGATTACCAGCGCGTATTTCTGAAGCTCTGTGGAGGGGCTATCTCCCACCGTTATCCCGCCTGAGATGGTATGGTGACCATAATAAACAGTGCGAGCCAATCCCCAGGGCACTGGCAGGAACTGGGGCGATTTGCACCCGAGGTAATTCTCAGAAATAACCGGCCCGCCCCTTTCTGGACAGTGCCTCTGACCGGTGAGCAAAGCTAGTGAGCAGAGGCGTGACCTGGGGCCCAGTCCCAATCTTCAGGCCTGACCCGCCAGTGACCCCTGCAGACCGGACCGTGACATCCGAGTGAACTCTGCTGGGCCACCTCGCCAAGTTCAGCGCGCGCGCTGGCTCACAAGATGAGCGGGGCCTGCTCCCAGGAAATAGCCACAGGGCAGAGGGGCAACATTATCTACCTGCGGGGGGCGAAGGGGGGGGGAGATGGGCAGGGCTTGACAGGAAAGGATTAGACAGTAATGAGTGAAAGAGATCGTTAAAGAACATCCTAAAAGGGAAGAGACCGTCAATAAATTACCACATACTAAGAACTTTGGTCTAGGAACCTCACAGGGCTTTCTTAGGTGGTGCTGGTGGTGGTCTGGAAGGGAGTTTGGCTTATTGAAGAGGAAGATGTTTCTCCAATGTCTATGAAACCGTTGTCTCCCTGTTTCTAAAGGTTCATTAGGGGGAGGGGAAAGCTTTTTCCTTGAGGTTGAGGACCCAAAGCGGATGGGAGACAGGAGTTGACGCCAGGAAGCACCTCCTGCCCCACTTTCCTCTCTAATCCCCTTCTTTGTGGTTCTTGAGCACTCCTCTCATTCCTCCAGGTTTCTATACCTGCTCCTTCTGCTTGAGTCCAGGCCACCCTGGCTCGTTACTTTCTGAGCAGAAGGTCACCCCGCAGAGAAGCCTTACACCAGATGAGCTTGGCTCCCACTCAGCATCACAGCGCCCGCTTTATAGCATTTACAACATCTGTCACCACCTGGCATATTCTTGTTCTGTTGTTGCTTTTATTTGTCAGCCTCCTTTATCAGCATGACATGTCTAGGAGGGCGGAAAACACGTCTGCGGTTCCCAGGCGAATCCAAAGCCCCTAAAACCAGATAGGCAGATACTCATGGTAATACTCAACACTCTGCGGTGATGGAAAAGTTATAATGTCACTCCTGCTGGGGCTCAGAAGCAGGTCGTCAGGAACCAGCTCAACTGTCCTCTTCCCTGTCAAAATCGCTGCGTCCGAGGCGCTCCCGCGGCTTCACCTGGCCCGCTGCGGTCTCAGGAGCGCCCTGTAGCCAGGCAGGCCTGCTGCCCACCTTTACCGCCTCTGGCGCCCGCCGAGTTCAGGGCCTGGCGCCGGCCCATGGGCGGCAGTAGGTGATGAATTACCCTGGATGGGGGTTACCGCGGTGTCAGCGGACCTCGGAAGGGCCCGCTGCGCTCTTGAGCCATCGACCCTGCGTGCGCACGCCTGCTGCGTCCACACACACACCCCCCCCCCTTTCTGGCCCCTGGATCCACCTTAAGCATAAGGTCAGGAGGGCACCGGCTTCCTTCTGGTTCACTAAGGGGTCAGCGAAGGCCTGGGCGGCAACTTGCCTGGCTCACCCATCATGTCCAGCCGCCCAGGCCTGTCGGAAAATGGGTGGCAGATTGCAAGTGGTCTGCCCGGGATGGCGGGAAGGCTTTGATTTAAACACCAGTAGGAACCTCCGGGTCAGAAGGAAGAGTGAGTCCCTAAACTAAATTGAGGTCCACTATTAGCTCAGCACTACATGGTGGCACAACCCAGGCTCAAATAAAGGATGGTGAGAAAGAGTCCTGGCTGCAGAGCCCTGGGGCTGGTGCCGCAGACAAGGCACTTGCCTCTCTCCTCCTCAGTTTCTCCTCGGCACTGGCTGAGCCAGGAACCCTCTGCAGCCAGCTATTGCGGAGAAAATCCTCCTGGCTTCCGACCGGCCCGATCCTCTCTGGGAACGCGCTGGGGTGATCCCCGGGCTGGGCTTCCCCATCCTCTAGCCCGTGTCTCCCCAGGACTAAGCTTCTAGCCTCCTCCCTCACCCGCTGCCAGGAAACTTGATTTCTTGGCCTTCCTGTTGTTAGTGCAAATATCCCAAACCTCTCTCTGTCTCAATTTCCACGCAAATAATCCAGCCTTTAGAGATCTCACTCAGGGTATCTGTTCTCTCCTGTTGTATAAAAGAAAAGATTAAGAGTGTAGACATTGTTCTTTTAGTAAGTCGCCAGCAGAATCCTGCGGTGTTGAGCTGTTTAGAGCCCTGGAAGCTCCAGCAGTTCTGGATTTCCGCAGAGACCAGCAGAAATACCTGGGCGCGCGGACCCGGCGGCTACTGCCTGCGGGCCTTCCGCTGGACGCCGTCTTCCACGTGTCTTCTTAAGGAGCAAAGTCAGAGCAGAGCCGGGCTCTTGGGAATCTCTGCTTCCCGCCCCACCCCCCCACCCCCGCCAGGATTGCAGATCCATCCTGTTTCTGGCACTGTCAGTACTCCCCACAGCACCGTGCGCCCTCCTGGACTAGCCCGGAAGGCGAGGTCCTGGGATATTTGTTCCCTCTATTCCTGCATCTCCTGCATGGTTCCTGACTTTTCCTTCTTTAGGGCGCAGAACGCAAGAGCACCTTTCACAGCAGCTAGTGCTGGAGACTCACAGCTTGCTCCCACTCAGCCTCCTTCGGAATCCAGCAAAGAGAATTGTTGAAACGGTGTGACAGTAAGTGGCTTCGAACCCCGCACTAGGAAGCCGCGCGCACAGCCTGCGCTGCACCCGCGCCCGCTGCAGCCACTGGCCCAGCGGTGCTTCGCGGAACTGCGAGTCAGAGGCAAAGCTCCTCCTGCGCCGCCGGAGGCGCAAGCGGGTGGAAATAGAGCTGCAGCCCGTCCACCGGGTGCACGATGGGCACGGTCTGCATAGCGGGGAAGGCAGGCGTGGCCAGCTCCCAGCTCGCTGTGCGCACCAGCTCCACCGCGAGCAGCTGGAGCATCGCCTGCGCCAGCTCTCGGCCAAGGCAGCTCCGTGCGCCGCCGCCAAACGGGATGTAATGGAAGCGGCAGGCGGCTCCAGGCGCGTCATCCCGCCCAACACTGAAGCGCTCGGGGTCGAAGCCCTCTGGTGGACTGCGGTACACCGCGGCTGTCTCGTGCGTATCTCGGATGCTGTACATCACGCTCCAGCCCTTGGGAATCTGGTAACCCTGTGGGGAGGCAAGGAGACCAGCCTGACCAGGAGGCACTTGGAAACAGGCTGAACCGACCTCGAGTCCATCCAGGTGTCCTACAACCGCAGGGAGGCGCTATGGATCCCAAAGCCCCAGGAGGCCCTGTGTTCCAAAGCCCTGCTCCTCTCTGTAGTTGGCTCTGTGACTTTGGCCTAGAAACTCGATATCCCTGAACCTCACTAGGTTTTCTGTAACAAAATGACAAGCATTCCAATTTGCTGTGAGGATTTGGATCTGACACATATATCAATTAATGTTCTAAGAAAGGTTTCTATTTGTCTTTCTGCCTTTGTGTTTTATTTTTGTTGCTGTTCAGACATTAGCTTAGGAAATCCAAATTCTAGCCTGCAGTTACCAAAATGCTAGTCCTACCTGGGCGGGAACACCACCATGGCACAGTTCCCAGTGCCTTTAGGATCAGCTAAAGTATACAGTTCTTTGCATTTAATCGGAATTTGCCTCCCAGTCCTCACCAGCCATTAACCCTCCTACCCCCAACCCTTTGGCCTGGAATCTGTTCAGGTTCATGGTAGCCTCTGTGTTACAGAAGAGAACTGCTCCATATAGTTTACTTGGCTGTCATCTTTATGTAAACATGATTGCCAGGACTTTCTTCCTTGGTGCAACTAGGTGCGTCTGAACTGCCAGCTTTAAGGTTAGTGGCCTAGTGCAGACATCTGGGCTACCCAGGGATCTTCCCTCCCCGACCAATAATGTTCAGACTTAGTAACCACACCTTAAGAAGGTCCAGATGAAAATTAAACTGGGAAGTCTTTAACATGTTGGAAGGTAGTTTTCCTATCCCTTCTCCCTTAATCAGTGTTAAAAAATTACAAGGAGAGCTCTGGTGGCCTAGTGGCAAGAAGCTGCACTGCAATCCTAGAGGCTCACGGTTCAAATCCACCAGATGCTCAGCCAGGGAAGAAGGGACAATCTTCTCCTCTACCAGTCAGATCTGATTTGATGGTACACACACACAAATAATAAAATTTTTAAAAAATTTTAAAAATTACAAAAGTATTCCTCTTTTGGTACGCCTTTTACATACACCCCCTCCCCCAAATGTCCCTACTATCCTGCTACCCTCCACCTAAATTTCAAGGTGTCTCATCACAGTATCTCAAAGGTGTACAGAACGTTTTGGAATTACCCAAGGAACACTCTCCTTTTTCAAGTGGCATTTGACTAAGACTTTGCATCTCTGCACCACCCTAGTCTGTTTCCTTAAGGATTTGCTGGGCACTGTGCTGACTGCAGCATCCAGACACTCTAAGCTCCTCACTGAGCTGCCAGCTTGTGGCAGGGCTGCCCTACTCCATCCCAACCCTTTAGTACTCTATGCAAATGCTAGTTCTCAAAATATTTCCTTCTATGTCCTACAGCAGCCTGGGAGGAAGCAGCTGTCTTCTTTTTTGCGGGCAGAATTCCAGATATTTTGTGCACTCAAGATTCTACTATGTCCAATGTTTAAAGTTTCAGGGAAAGAGGTGCCCACTCTACCTACAGGTGCCCAGTGACCAAGGTTGATGCTCTGAGCTCAAGAGTGCTGCTATAGGCCTGCTGCAAACGTTAGTTCAGCAGCGCAATGGTGCCACTCTCCGATGCAGCCAGTGTCACAGTGCTCCAGGCCAAACTGGCGTTAAAGGAAAAATAGTCTCTTCCAGAGGGTAAACTGAGGCTCAGGGTGAGGAAGAGTTATATAAATAGGTGGGGTCAGGTCTAACTGTTAATCTTGTCCAGCTCCAGCCAACCAGAGTGGGCTATTAAGGAGTTCTACCTTGTATTTTAATTGCTGCACTTACCTGGAATCAGGGCCTAGTTGGGGGCCCTGAACTGACAACTTCAACTTCCTTCTCCACCTTGTTCCTTAAGGGCTATACTAGGTGCTCTCTTTGTTTCCCGCCCAAACTCACTGACTGGGGGAAACAACGTGGGGAGGCTGGGGTTGGTGGGGGTGGGGAATATGTTCTTATTCTAAAACTCTGCTCTAATTGATTTGATAGGGAGTTCTGGTGGATGGCGTATTCTGTAAGGAGTTGCGCTGCTCACCCGAAGACCTTGCCCTTCAGGTTCGAATGCACTAGAGCCTCCTCAGGTAAAAGGTGGGTAATCTCCTTCTGTGCGATTTACAGGCTCAGAAACCCAAAGGTTAGTTTTGAGTTTCCCCTCGACTGCAACGAGGGTGAATTTGAACTGATCTGATATGCAGGCCTCTCTCTCCAAAAGGGTCCTCAACCCTGCCGGTTCCCTAGGCGCTAGGACTGGGGTCCCGCAGTCTGAGACTCAGGATGGCGGTACAGGGTTCGGCCCACTCCACAGGCGGGAAAGATGAGACTCTTAGAAAGGAACCGGTGAGACTTAATCCCGGTGCCCTTCCCAGCCTCTGCCAGTGGTGATGGCACGGCATGGCGTGGGACGCACTTACGTCGACGCACTTACGTCGAGCTCGAAGGTGCGCAGCGCCGTGCGGTAACCCCCAGACACTGGCGGCAGGAGGCGCAGCACCTCTTTGACCACGCAGTCGACGTAGCGCAGGCGGCCCAGAGCCTCGAGGCTGAGGTCTGGCGGGCAGCCACAGTCGGGCGCGATTCCCGCGTGGACCCCGGTGGCGGGGGGCACGCAGTTGCACGCGTGATGCAACCCCTGAGCTGCCAGCTCCTGCCGGATCTTGGTGATGGCCATCGGGTGCTGCAGTAGCAGCAGGATGAGGGATGTGCTAGCACTGGCCGTGGTGAAGAAGGCGGCGAAGAGTAGTTCCATGGCTGACTCCTGCAAGATAGTCCAGGCGACTCTCAGACTCCATCAGTGGAGGGACCTGGGGCCTTGAACCGATGGCCCCAGAGGACCCCACATTTTACCTCTTGGCAAAGGTTAAGGAAATGTGATTTCAAATCTGTTTCCTGGAAAAGTCATACATAGCAATGCGGGGAAAACCAGGATCTACCGATCTGTATTGGGAAGATGTAGAATGGTAATGTTAGAAATTTATTTGGTCACTATTCTTAATGCTTTAAATATATTCATCTCTTCGAATCTCACCTCAATCCCTTTTACAGGTTTGGGAACTGAGGCTCAAAGAAGTTCCCACACCCACACCCACACACACCCAACTGGTATTCTCAGCAACCAGGCTGCAAATCTAGGTTTCTTAACTACCTCAGGGCGCTGCCTGCACCCCTACTGGGTGTCTTGCTAATTGCAGAGGGACAGCAGCACCAGCCTTGCTCCAAATAGGCGTGATATCATGCAGTTTTGGGTTTCCAGGCCTAAGAGAGTGGCCTCAGTGAGCAAAGCCTTTCCCAAAGCACTTGTGCTCGGAACCTCAGAGAACGGACCTTGTGGCTTTTATCCTTCAGACTCTAGCCTTCGTTCCCTGCCTGTGTCCTCTCAGGTCCCCATCTTTCCTTCCTGGCAACGCGCAAGGTTGATATTTTGACTTGGATTGTGTTACCATTGGATGAACCTCTCCTGCACAGCTTTGTTCATGCCTGTATCCCCAGTCCCAGGGGACTACCCCAGATGGCCCCAAATAAGCACGGTAATACAGTTAATGAAATGAGTGACCTTGTCCAATGTCAAAACTGCCTATCCTACTCTGAACAAGATGGGGGGTAAGGTCAGATCCCAGGGTCACAACATCCTCCTTAACCTGTCACTGACCAAGACCAGAAGAGAAAATTTTTGAGGACCTGGGAGCAGGAAAGATGGCTCTGGTTTCTCCTTCCTTAGCCCAGTCAAGGCAAAGAGACTGTCCACCCCTTCCCACACCATTCCCTCTTTCAGCTCAAAGATGTTCCCGTCTGCCTTTTCTTCTAACTTAATTGACTCATCTCAACCTTGAAATGACACAAGAGTAAAGAGAGATTATTAGAGTTTATAATCTCTATTCTTAGAGATTACGTCTCAGAGGAAAAAGAATTAAGACAGCCAAATTCAGTCAGTGGCTGATGGCTTGGAAAGGGGAAGATGAAGCCCTGAGAAAGTCTGGGAGTCGGGGAATTGCCTAAGGAAGGCTATTTCTCATCTTTGCCCCTCAGTCTCTATCCACTTTTGAAGATTCTCAGGCATCCCTGGGGGACCCACAAAAGCTCCCCTCCTTCATTTGCACTTGTGTTTTTTATGTCTGCATAATCACAATATGGTGGTTGAGTCCATCATGCAGACCCCACATATTTCAGAGTAGAACTGTGCTCCACAGGGTTTTCAATGGCTAATTTGGGGGAAGTAGATCACCAAGCTTTTCTTCGGCAGCACCTGGGGTGAACACAAACTGCAAACAGCAGAGCTTTTATTCAGCAGCTAGGTGCTCTGCCCATTTGCATCATGGAGGGGGCCTGATTCTCCAGGACCTACAGTAGCAAAAGAGCTACAGGTTACCAGCATTAAATATCCAGAGGCCATGGTGGCTCATGGAAGAATGTTCATTTGGGTTGAGCAGAGTTTTAAAGAGGTGGGTTCAATCCCTTAGAGTTTAGAGAAGGAAAAGAGTAAATTTGAGTCCTTTTTGTTTAGAGAGAAAAAGAGTGAAAACGTTTCACAGACAAGGAAACAGCACAAAGGCATGAGTGACAGAGAAGGGAGTTGGGTTATGGCTGTAAGGGGGTCATGCAAGGATTCATGCTTGAATGCTTCTACTTCTTATTGTTGTTAATATGCCATTGAGTTGGAAATGACTCAAAGCTGACCCACTAGCAGGTTTTCAGAGGCTGTAAACGTCATGGGTGGAGACTGCCCAACATTCTACCTTAAAGCAGTCGGTGGATTCAAACCACCTGCCTTTTAGTTAACAGTGCAGCTCCTTAACACTAAACCATCAGGAGAGGTAATGGGGCAGTCTAGGCTAGGCGGTGTGGCTGAGGATAGACGGCAACCCTTGGTCTCTTCTTTCTGCTCATCCTTGGCGCAGAGTGGGACCAAGCAGGATGTGTCTCTGGGGTGGCAGCATCTGTGTAGAGACATGCTGAGAACACAAGAGGAGAGGAGGGGCTTCCTTCCTGCCACCTACCTTCAGTTCTTGCACTGAGAGCTCATGGCCAAGCTCTCTGGCGCTGTGGATAATCAGGTGGAGGGCGTCACCTGGCTCCTCAGCCTCATCTTCACCAAGCTTCTCTGCAATGGCCTCCTCCAGGTGTCGGTGCATGTGGTCCCGGGCCCTGATGCCCTTATGAGCAGGAAGAGAAGGGGCAAGAAGTTGCCCTGATGAAAAGAGGGCCAGGTTTGGGCACTTACACAAAATGTTTTGCAGGCTCTACCAAGGTCTTATTGTTACAAGTTTTCCTAGTGTGGTGGTTGGCACATAGTATGTTCAAGACATTATGCAAGCATTTCAGGAAACACCACCAACTAAAGCTTGTCAACATAAGCATGGGAAGCATTCTAGCTGAGGGTTTTGGGGCCAGAGGAGATATGGATTCATATCCTGCCGCTGTCCCCTACTAGCTTTGTGGTCTTGGATAAGTCATTTAACTACTCTGAGCCTCAGCTGCTTCATAAAAACTAAACAGTAATAACAAAATAACAGGAATAATACTTTGAAGGCCGAGAGCACCAAATTGGAGCATCCAAGATGATCTGGCTATAGCATGTCTTCTTGTAAAACCAAATTGCTTCACTGTAGAGCTGATTGGGGCTTTTAGCATGACCCTTTATACATATCTATTCTTTTTTTTCCCCCCTCGCATGGAGACAGTTAGAAGCCCCAGATCAAGGGAAGAGGAAGGTCAGAAAGAGGCCTTCTAGATCTCTGGGCTCGCTCTCTTAAGTCTCAGAGGCCGCAGCCGGCTCAGCGCCAAGGACTGTGTACCAGCGCCTATGGTTCTCCGACCTGGGCAGGCACTGGGTCGCGCTGGCTCTTTCCGCAGCCAAGGCAACTTTGGTAGGAGTGCGGAAGGCCGGACCCAGAGGCGCCGCTGTAGGGAGCGGCCGGATTGGCAGCCTGGGGAATCCCGCGGTTGCCTGGTCTGGAGCGCATACCGCAGGCGCGGCTCGGAGGAGTGCAGCTCCCCGGGTCAGTGAGTCAGGGCAGCGGCGGCCTCAGCCTATTGCCACAACCCGCCGCCTCCCCACCCCGCAGCACGACTCCGGCCCACCGGCAGAGGTGTGCGTGGGGCACCACGGGTGTTCCATTTCCTTTTGGGAAGTCCTGCTGCCTCCCAAGGCCGGAAAAGAAGGTCTGGGGACCTACTCTGCGAACCCAGCAGTACCTTGCGCAGGCCGCTGAAGGGCACATCCAGGGGCAACGAGAAGAGATTCTCCACCAGCTGCTCGAAGGTGCAGGCCAGCTCTGCGCATTGCACATCGTCCAGACGCAGCCCCAGCAGTATGCACGCGGCCATCCGGAAGGTGAGCGCCTTGGCTGCCCGGTAGACCTCAACCGGCCCGGGGACGGCGCACCAGGAGCGCACCTCGCGCCGCAGCGCCCCCTGCAGGCGCGGCACGTAGCGCTCCAGCGCTGCACGGCTGAACGCGCGAGCCAGGACCTGCGGGGAGGGCACAGGCTCAGCGCAGCGGCTCGGCTCGCCAGTCCAGGGGAGCCAGAAGGTGAGTTCTGGCGTCTTTCACTCCTTTAAGGGGTCCAGAACCTAAACGCATTGGTTTGCTCTGCCATTCTTGTTCTCCATTCTGATATGCAAAGAAAGCCCTTTATGTTCATATAGAATTCAACTGTTTAGTCTTAGTCATGGCTGAAGTCAGAGGGTCAGAGACTGGCCCAAGATCACCTACTCACTAACCAGGAGTTCCATCAAGGTTGACATTGTACCCCAACACCCAACCCTAAGCTCGACTACAGCAGTTGCCAGGGTCCGATGGCCTCTTTCGGAGCTCACCTTGCGCCGCCTCCGATGCGGCTCACCAACCGCACCGAGCAGTGTGTGCGAGCCCAGTAAGATGTGCGTGCTCTGTGGCCACTGGCTGCGCACCAGGCGGTGCTCGCCCAGCAAGATGGTGCGCACGTTCTCCGCACCGCTCACGCGGATTACCGGCCTGCCCAGCAGGTGCGTCTTGAACACAGTCCCATAGCGCTCCCGGCGGGAGCTGTGGAAGCGTGAACCCTGCAAGCCAGCGAGGCAAATCGGGGCCATGAGGCCAGGGTCTGACCCAGCCTCCCTCCTGCCCCTCCATAACTGCCCCAGGTTGGCGTGTTACTCTTTACAATGCACTTTAAGTCATCCTGCATCTTGTGTCTTCACTATGGGAAATGGAGATGCTTCTATAATCCCACTCATATAAAGAGGCAACCAAGACTCAGAAGGGGCCTTGCATGCCCAAAGCCTCATTCCTGGGACTCGCCCCTCACTCTTCCTGTTCATTCTAGCGTGTGTCATTGTGCCCTAATGCGTTTAAGTTGCATTGGGAGGAAGAACTTGGGTGATGAGCGACCCCCTTTAAAAAACAGGGGGCAGATGGCAAAGACCAGGGCTGGGCTGTGCTCTCTGGACTCTGCTCTGGACGACTGGAAAGGACTGTCTAGCTAGGAATCTTCGAAGGCATCAACCAGGGGAGTCCAGCAGGAGAAGGGGAAGAAGACCGACTGGAGGGAGGGAACAATGGACTGCTCACCTGAACTAACCAATGGAGCGTTTCACCAAAGAAGGGCCAGCCCATGGAGCCCTTTGGCAGAGGTAAGGGACAGGCCCGGTCCCGGCTCAGGGTCCAGCGGAGGGTCCAGAGGTGCTGGGCCAGGCCGAGCAGCAGGCCAGCGCACAGGAGAGCGGTACCCACCGTCCAGAGCACGGACAGGCAGCTCAGTCCCCAGGGGAACATCCTGGGGCTACTAAGGCTCTTAGCTTAGGCTGGCTGCTGCCAGACCCTTAGGAGCAGCGATAAGAATCAACACAGGCGCTGTGCTCACCTGGTGCGGTGTTCACCTGTTCCGAAGGAAAGATCCTCGGGCTCGTGGGGCCTAAATCCCAGATCTATGATCTTTCACAAAGAGAATTCATTCCACTCTACATGCTGGCACAGAAATCGCAGTGAACGTGCCCCCTGAGGGAATGTGCATGCGCCCAGCGCACCTCCCCAAGTCCAACTGCCTCTGGGCCACAATCCCTCACGGGAGTGCCAGCTGCCTCAAGATTGCTCACCCGGTCACCCGTGGGCACCTCCCACTTCTGCCTTTTCCAAGCTTCAGCACTTGGATAAAGGCCCCTCCCGAGCCCGCCAGCTCACTCGGAAGGAAGCAGTGAAGGGAGAGCAATGAGAGGAGCAACTCACGGGCGCTGCCAGTGTAGGTTGGGACACCCCACGACCAACAGGACTGCAGACCCCCACTCTGGCTCCCTCTTTCCTCTAGTCGTTAACCCTTCTCAGCCTACCCAGGACACATTTATATACATATTGGCTCCCTCCCTGTGGACTGATCCGGGTTCACCCATGACGTGCCTATGCATATTTAAAGTACGCGGTGCAGAGTAATGATTGGAGGCGGTGGCAGCACCGAGGGGCTCTGGATAGGGAGTGGCAGCCAGTTTGTGGCTGGGCTGGGGGCAGGCCCAGCGCACGGGCTGATCGCAGGGCGGGGTCTGGGCTTTTCGCGCCAGAACTTCCTGCACAGCACAGGAGCACAGCGAGTGCGTGAAGTGAGCCGAGCAAGGGCTGGGTTTGCGCTCTGCCTCACAGTAGGCTCTCTAGATCTGAGACACCCTTCCTCCCTTCCTTCCTTTCTTTCTCTGACACCCTGGGACCTGAAGTTTCTCTCCTTTGCCCATTTTTTATCTCAGGAGCACTGTGTACATGTCTGCATCACAGTTTTCCAGGGACAGACAGCCTACTGAGTCTCCTCCTCTGCCACTTTCCTAGTTGGTCGCATCTACCGCTTTGGGTGTTCGGCAAAAGATGGTAGCTCCAGGGTTGACCGAAACTAACGGACATCAGCGAGACATCTTATTCCCAAGATATCCTGGGGTGCAATTCCAGTCTCAAGGGCAGGGACTGAATTCACCATCTCCTCCTTGTTGATGATCTCCGAATTAGCTTGGTAGTGGTATCAAGGGCTCAGGACTTGGTAAGGAGGGAAATGAAGGAAAAAAAGTGAACTCTCCAAATTACCAGTCTGAGGTCCTTGTAGTGTTCTGCTCCAGGTGGCACCAAAGTAGTGTCTCCCCAAATCTGAGGATGTCTCAAAGTCAGGAGGCATCCCAGGTGGCCTAAGATTAGATAAGGTGGATAATCGTGGTGAGACCCAGCCACATTCCAAACTCGTGAAAGCACAATCTGTACACCTTCTCTGTTAACCTCCTGATTTTCACTTGGCCTGTAGAATTACTCAGTTTTCCATGTGACACTAAAAAGGCACATGAAATACTTTATGGTAAAAGTTAATCAAGAGAACAAATGCTCTTTGCTTTAGTTTGGTGCCACCACTCCCATTCTAATAACACGTTTCAATAATTTAGTAATTTGTCTTTTCTGAAGCAGGCACAGTTGTTTTGAACAAGGAAGCTCTGAATTGATAAAACAGCAACACATTTTCAACAACTTCATCTTTTTAATATTTCATCACAAAATCAAGAAATAGACACACAATTCTTTACAGTTATTTTACAAAGTCAAATAAATGTTAAGTTTCATACAGGCGTGAAGTGGGGAAATGCAAAGGGTGTAAGCATAAATATAATGAAGAGAAAATGAAGATCAAATTTACGCTAGTAAGTTTGTTCTCCAGTAACTTACACAAAGGAAAAGGTGCACTTGTTTTAAGTTTTCCAGAGCTCATCTGGCTTGGCTTGTTCCCATAGCACGTACACAGTACGGAGATCTACTATTTGGAGAAAGTAACCTGAGCCCTGTGGTAACTTCTCTGGAAAATCATCTCAACCTTAGTATAGGCTACACCTGAACTGGCTGCTGAACCAATCCAAGCATATCTTAGAAAAATGGGGTCAGCTACAAACATTATATAGTTCAAAATATTAACTCTTACGAACAAACATTATATAGTTCAAAATATGAACCGTTATGAACAGAAACAACACTGCAGCTTCAGAGAATCTAACCCCCTTTCCTCCCTATCCAGGATGAATAAATTAAGCCACCTAAGTGAGTTCTTACTGAGTCAAAGCAAGTTTGATTTTTAAGAGCTCTAATGATTCATCGATTTCCCCATCAGAATCAGCAAAATGAGAAATTTTAGTTCCTTAAATCACAATGAGGTAAAGAAGAAAAATTGAAAATATGAAATGACAGTGAAACACTCCCATATCAGACATGACTGCATTCCAAAATCAGACACTGATTAAAAAAAAAAATTGCTCAAGTCTAAATAGAAAAACAACTTACAAGTGGAGCCACATATTTTTCTAATATATTTACAATCAGTTACCTATTCAATTTTGACCCAATTTAGATTTATATATTAGTTTTATCTTTCCCCCAAAAGTGAAAAAACTGTCACATTTTAGATATACAAAACAGTATTCAATTATTTAAAAATCTATACAAATATTTATCACTTATCTTCAGCTCTCACCAGCCTCTCTTCTCTTTTGTATTTCTGAACTTGGCAAATGTGTTTCTGTATTGTAATCAAGATTTTGTATTCCTGAGTACAGGCAAAGGGAAGCCTATGTGTGCTGGGACATACCATTCACCAAACTTCTCAACTGTTTCACGACCGTCTCTATTAACTTTTGTTTGTCTCGATCATTCTTCCTGAACTGAGCAAATATATTGTTCTTTCTGCTCGTGTCCTTCATCCTAGAAGCATAAGTGAATGGAGAGGCTTAGTAAAAGGAAATGAAAAGTTATGGTATCACAAGTAAAATATCTTCGCATGTTCTGATTTATATCACACTGATGCTATATTTTGAAAAATACACTTAAAAATTGGTACTAACAAACTTAGAGAGACAGCAACAGCAGAAATATCAGGACCTTTAAAAAATATTCCACATCAAGTGGTGTCTTATACTAGTATGTAAATCTAAAATGTTAAAGTTTTGTATTTTCTAACACCATTCTATAAAGTATGCTACAATACAGAACCCTCCATGGACTCTGCAGGTCACATTCACGGCAAGACAAGGTAAAGGAAAAATGACATTAGAAATTTAAGATATTATGGGTTTTTTCCTTTTTGCCCCTCTGGTATTTCATGGCATCATAAAAATAAATTTACATTTATTTTAAACAGTTATTTTTTAATTTTAAACAGTTATTTTTGTTCTCACAAATGAAATGCACAAATATTTTGAAATGTGAGAAACAGTACGCGATTTTACTGCGATAAAATACTGAGTAAAGAAAATATCTGGCACAAACTGGGAGGGGAAAAATAACTCCTAAAAATGTGTTGGATAAGCTGTATCAGCAAATATCTTTGTTACCTCCGTTTTTAATGTCTTTTATTATTCGGATCATTTCTCTAACTAAAAAAGGGTCCAACACCTTAATGGCAGGATTTAGATAGCACGGATGGTAAACATTCCAATTCCTGGCCATGTTTTACAAAATACTTTCTTTTCCTGTGTTATAAAAATTTTAAGAGCACCAACTGTCACTTATTATCTCCTATAAATATATTTCTAAGGCCAGCTAAATCTGCTATTCAGAACACAATAGGGAAAATGTTTTGTTCATATTAACATAAATAGCAATCACACAGAAAACCATGCCATCCTTGAAGGGTAAGAAATAAAGGACTTATTTTCAGTCATTAGAATGAACTGAGTTTTAAAGCTCCATTCAGCCACTTATTTTTCAACGGCAATCTCCAGTTCTTCATTTTGTAATTAAGTTGAAAAAACAATTGCTGAAATGTATTAAAAAGTTTTCAAAATGTACTCACTTCTCCAAAAGAATAAGAGCTGTGTTTGGATTCACTCGAAGGTATTTAGATGCTGGCTGTCCATAATCAGCTAGATAAGTAGACCAATCCCAAACCATAAACAGGTCAAGGAGCTGAGGAAGATGCAGAAAACTGTTAAACCAAGAAGTGATATTGACCAACAGCTAACAGACAAATCAAGTCTATAGTATTCTTGATCCATTTCAATACCAGCTGCTTCTGAGGCTGGACAGACAAAATTTTAAAAACTCCATTCACAGCACTTCATAACGCAAATAGGATACACTATCTTTTTACTTTTAAAATTGTCAAGAAGTGTTTTCTAATACTGAGTTGTATTTTCAAAAATTGTAATGTACTGACAACACTTAATTTATAACACATCTGAGGTATACAGAAATCTTAATGCATTATTCAATCTATCAAAATTTAGCTAGCAAGATTTCTTGCTACTCACTGGATAAGGAATTTTAAAGAACTTAAACTGCAACTTTTTTCTTAGAGGTTAGTATGTTTACCTTTCAAAGAAGCCGTTTGCACCTAGACTTTTTCCAAAGTAACTTAAATCGAAAGCTCAGATAATCTCAATTAAGTGCATTAAACCACCTCTGCTGGCTTCTCCCTGCTGATAGATTCTCAGTAGTATTATAAAATGAGGGCCCAAGGACTCAGCCTGTTAACACTAGGTGACCATTGTGTATAAACAAACAACAACAACAAAAAAAAAGAAACCCGCTTGTTTTTCCACAATGTCTTAAAATTGACTTTATAATCTCCAGTTAGAACTGTTGTCAAATATGGAAGTAATCTTTTAAAAGCAATGCCTTGCCTAAACTAAAGCACCAAACTCCTTATCCAACTTTAAAACCCTAATCCCCCTTAAGCCACTTAAAACCAACTTCCTATCCCCATTTGAATTGTTCAGAAAGTTAAATGCTTTACTTACTACCTTCTTTCAGTTTTTCATATTATTCTTTTTTTGTTTTAATTCACTTTATAACTACGCAGCCTACTGGTTTTGCTTCCAAGTGAAGGAAGCCATTTGCTTTTACTCAGATATCTGACTCTGAGAAGGATAAAACTATTGTTGTGATTAAAGCCATCTAAAGAAAGGTTATGAGAAACCAGCTCATCCTTAGGAAGGTAAGGAACTTGAGTCTTTTCTCCATCCAATTTACAGCTGCTAAGAGATATTTTCTTATGAAAGAAAAGAATAATTGTACAGATTTCTTTTTATAATGAAATATTAACTGTTCTTTTTTAGACAAGTTAACACTGTTATCCACACCAAACATTAATACAGAAACTACCCTGAGACAATGTTACAGAAATATATGTATCCTCGCTATTTCAAAGTTTGCTTTGTAGCACTTTGTTTTTATGAGACATACTTTGCTGTTTTCACTAACTGAATGTAATTTTTTTTATGGAAAAAAGACAAAACTAGTATACAGTATGTTTTTCTACAAGCCATTAAAGAGGCAGCCTGAGTCCCTGAGCAATGAATGATACTGCTGAGCCCTCCTGGGCATGCTCTGTTTCTACTTGATACACGCTGTGTATTTGTCTTATCAGTCCTGTTTTGATTCTATGGTAGTATCATTTCAGGTTTCATGTTGGTATACTATTATAGGGTATTTTTGGAATATAGGAAAATACCCCCCAATTTTCCCATATTAATTTATGGTGATTTCATCTTTGCATTACACAATTTCAGCTTACAAAAGATTTCACAGGCGTGCTTTACTTTAGGACGATGGGTAGGAGAAAACTGCCCTATGTGTGGGTAGGGAAGTGGGATGGGGAGAAACATCATTGTTCCGTGTCACTTTTCACTATTGTTTGGTAACAAGTATAATTTCTCTCTTCAAGGATTAAAAATGACTCACATATTCTGATGGTGAGAATTTAACTCTTCTGGAATGTGATTTTGCCATATATATTTTAAAAGCTTATAAAAATGATCATTCCCTTTGACTCAATAAACCTACTTCAAGGAATATAACTTCAGGAAACATTAGTAAATGAAGGTAAAAATGTATGCATAATGATAAGAGTTTTAATATAAATGTATCAATAGAGTGCTGTATTATTGAAAAATTGAAGGCAACTGGTATTATTAATCCTAAGAGAGTGGTTAGGTAGTGAGACAGTATGAATATTTTGTGGCTATTAATGTTTCTAAGAATTATAAATAATTTGGGAAGATGCTTATTATAAATGTTAATACTTCAATTTCACAAATTCCCTTCAAAAAGAAAATGTGAAAGAAAATGTCATTTGTGTAGCAAGACTATGGAGAACTATAAATTTCCTAACATCCTACAATAGGCATGTATTACGTCTACATTGTTTCTAAAACCAAGTTTATGTATTTATATATTAAAATAAATTTCAGTAATTAACACATCTCAGATAGTTGCTAGCAAAAGCCTCATTTGGAAGGAATTTCTTTTCCAAAGAAATGTATGTGTTTGCACAAAGTCAGCAGAAAGTAGCCAGTTAATGTGTCAACTGTAGTCTCTCTTCCTTTTACAATGTGCCTTTAGAGATATAGGAGAGTTAGAGGCCTTAAAATGAGGCTCTTTCCATCTTGGGCTGATCTACTCCTATGTAGGAAAGGAAGAACCCACTTAATGAATTTAAAAAAAAAAACAAACTTAAACCAGATCCAACTATTTGTTATTCTGCAGCACAAAACCAGACGTTTTCTCTATAAAATATACTAAAAATGTTCATATATGATCAGATATTCTTATTACCAGTAATTACATGGATGACAAAAAGCTACCCTACCAGCCCATGTATAAACAAATCTATATGCTTTCAACTAACTTGTGGTTATCTGTAGAAATCTATGTAAATTGGGCATATTAATAATGCACTATGGCAATGTGCAACCAATGTGGATAAAGGAGCAAAGGATCTAGATAAGATTCAACAAATACTGACTGCCCATATATAATAAGCTGTGTTAGGCACCAGAGATACAGATGTATTAGTAAATGAGACAAAGCCCCCTCTCTCAAATAACTTATATTTCAGGGAAGGAAGCAGAATAAGGAAGCAAATAACACCTTAATATTAACATTAAGAAATTAAGAAGGAAAGTATCTATTCACACAATCTCAAAAGTTGAAATTATAGCTAAGAAATAGAGAAACTAAGTAATAAAGAAACCAGCCATTCACATATGAGCTGGTAATGATTTCCTAATTACTCTCAGTACATGGACCAAGTGACTGTACATTCAAGCACTACTTCTTTGTCTGCGCTTCAAAGGATACACAGCTGTGAGAAGAGAGGGAAGGAGGGGCCAGTGAGCATGCTGATCTCATATTCTGACTTCTTGTTTCCATGTATGGAAGAAGAGCGGAGTGGACTGGGTGGGGGGGAAAGGGGATTGTATACCAATGAAAGAATTTTACTTTTCAAAGAGAAGAGTGAACTGGGGGTGGGGGGTGGGGGGAGGAGTGGGCAGGGAGAAAAATGCAACAATGAAATAATGGAAATCCAGTCTCTGCAAATGTTCATTAAAATTAATAATTTTAAAAAGCCAAAAAAGAAAAAAGAGAAAAAAATTATATACTACTACTGGCATAAATAAAATAAACTTTACAAAGCTACCGGTATATAATATAGTATATTCAACACAGTAGAAACCAGAGGAAATAAGAGGTTGATGATGCCATAACACTGTTCCAACTTACTTGGATGCTGAGTACAAAATGGCATCACATGCTATGTTCTGCTAGAATAGTCTGTAGCGTGTTTTAATGCTAATCTAAAGGCTGCCTATCTAGAGTGGTTCAAATCTACCAGGTGTTCCATGGGAGAAAGCCTGTCAGTTTCCTCCTGTTAAGATTCTCAGAAGCCCAATGGACGGTCACTATGAGTTGGAACTGACTAGACAGCAGTGAGACAGAATACTTTGGCTTATGCAGACCAAACCCAGAAATAGGTCAATGTTGGCTATAGGCAAATTGCCAGCAATGACTTCCTTTCCTCTTGGGCTTTCTATTGGGCCATAGGTGATAAGGATAGATGACCCCATAAAAGATTAGGTTCAATGTTAACGGAATTAAATGATTCTCCTAAGTAAAGAACCAATACTTTTTAACAGTCTCCCTCTATGGCTCCTCCATAAACAATTATATAGTCCTTTTTCACTTTTCAAAATAAAAGATTTAACACAAAAGTGGGATTTATTCCTGGGTCCCACCCTGTACTATGATGAACCAGATTTTCTGGCCGGGCCCACTCTTTAATGACATACAGCCTTGGATTAAACCAGTTGCCACTGAGTCAATTCTAACTGATGGTGACTCCATGAGTTATGGAGTAGATCTGCATCCCATAGGGTTTTCATAGCTGTGACCTTTAGGAAGCAGATCTTTGGGCCCTTATTAAAGGATCTCTGGATTAGTCCGAAACACCAATCTTTCTGTTCCTAACTGAGCAATTAACTATTTGCACCACCCAAGGAGTCTCGTCTTTTTGTAGGTAACTGAGCAATTAACTATTTGCACCACCCAAGGAGTCTCGTCTTTTTGTAGGAGGGCCTACAAAGGACATGACAGGCTGAAGCACAGTAGGAAGAGGAGAGGGACCTGGACCACTCCAGGTAGGACCACTGACACTAACTTACATGCTCCATACCTGCTTACCTTGACAACTGCCTCTCACCACAAAAACAGTTTCACAGGATGCACTATAAAAAGAACTCTGGTGGTTGAGTCTGTAGAGAGCTACGCTGTTGACTTTAAGGCCTCACCTCTCTGGGAGTTCAAATCTACCAGAGGTTCTGAGGGAGAAAGATAAGCAATCTCCTTCTGTTCAAATTGTTGTTGTTAGGTGCCACCGAGTCAAGTATGACTCATAGCAACCCTATGAACAAAAGATCTGAACACTCTTCTAATTTGTACCAGCCTCATACTTCCTGACACACAAGAGCCCACTGCAGTAGTCACCATGTCAATCCACCTGGTTGAGGGTCTTCCTCTCCTATGCCAACCTGCCATCCTTCCCAGCATCATGTTTGTCTCCAAGGAACAGCCCCTCCTAGCAACATGTCCAAATTATTTGAGGTGAAGCCTCATCACTTCTGCTCCCA